ATGTCCTCCCAGGAAAAGAGCCGTCCTAGGTCCTTAGAGATGGAGAGTGAACAGGAAGGGATGAGCGGTCCCCATCTGGGTCTTGCGATGCCCTTGGGGACAGAGTGGCCAGCTGCTAGCAGACAGGAGACAGTGCTCGTGTCTTTCCAGCAGACTTGGGTTGTGGCCTGCAGTGGTGACGGTATTCTCATCTTTCCATTGGTGGGCACTTTGGAGAGTCATGCTACAGTCTTTCAAGAAAGCAGGCAGCCTGGGCAGAGACTGGCCTGGGCTTTGGGAGACCTAGGCTTTGGCCATGCCAGCAATTGCTCTATGACCCCTGGGGTCCATTTGCTGGCTCTGGGCTCAGTGCCCCTCTGCGAGTTGGGAGACTGATGCTTTCATCCAGGGTGCTCTGGAGTCACTGGAGAGAAGGGCTGGAGTGGGCCTGGTGCACCAAGCAGGGCTGAACTGTGATTGGGTGGCTCCTCCCTCCAAGGCCAGTATGTTTGTTTATTGTAGGAAAGCCTCTTACGGTATCCAGCAGAGAAGAAGCTGTGAAAGACCCCAAAAGTTTGTCAAGCAGTGACTGTTTTTCCACAGAGGTGATGCGTTCAATCTCACCTCAGCCCCCCACTCACTGTGGGACCTAAGCAAACCACTTAGCCTCTCTGAGCCCTTGTTTTCTTGTCTTGAGCTGGAATGAGCTTACCCTCCTGGCAGTTAGCACGAAGATTAAAATTTAGGAGATGTTTTACTTTTTACTTCCCCAAAGGCTTTCCAACATGATCTTCATTGGATTTGAAGAGGGGGATGCTTGTTTGGAGGTCTCCAGTTATTCATCAGCTGACCAAGAGGCAGCAGGACAGATGTTGGACTTTGAAATCTGAGAAAACTGGGTTTGAATTGTGGCCTTACAGACCCTGGCCTGGTTAGAGGCACCAATCTCCCCAAACTTGGCCTTTTCTCACTTGGAAAATGGCTGAACTGAGCCTGCCTCACAGTGAGTGACGCTTGAAAGGCCCCCACCGCCTTTCCCAGGGTCTGTCTCCCTTCACTGCACACGTCCTCTGGAGTGAGGGAGGGGGAAGTCACCCAGAGACCCTCAAGCTCCAGGCAGGTCTTCGAAAGGAGTTTAGGACTGCACGCCCCCCACCCCAACCAAAGACTCTCGGAGAAAGACCCTGGTGAAACAGCCCCGTGTGATGATTAAGCTCTCTCTACTCCAAATACTATTAATAGTCATAAAATTATCCTCAGCTTTCTGAGGCCCAGTCCCAGGGCTGCCTCAGTGGACCAATAAAATTGCATGCAGAAACGATTTGGGAAAGGTGAAGACGGCCAAGCAGAGAGGAACTTAAACGAGCAGCAGCCTGCTCTCATTAACTCGGGCCATTCACATTTGTTACCAGGGATTTCGTTTTAATTAAAAAACAACCAAGTTATTAAAAAATAAGCTTAGGAGGGGCTGGCCAAGCAGCAGCCAAGGCCAACAGAGCCAAGGTTCCTGCAGCAGGACGGGCTGAGGCTGGAGCTGGGAGGAGTGTAAAGCAGGTGTTCATCGGAGCCCTTCGATAGGCTTGCCTGTTACCTGGGGACCCAGCTGAGCCCCTCATCTGTCCTGGGACTCTGGGGCATTGCGTTCTCATCTGCAAACTGCGAAGTGTTCAGCTGGTGCTGGCCAGAGCTGCGGGCACATGGCAAGCTAACACTGAGCGTCTGTCTTTAGTGTCAGGGTAACTGTAGGCTGAAAGGACTGCCCTGAGGATGCATTAGAATAGGGCAAGGGGAAGTGGATCCTTGTGTTGGCTCTCTTCAAGGTCACTTCTTACATAGTGATCAGGAGGTGGGGTTTGCGACTGGCAGACTTGGGCCAGAAATTCAGCTCAGAAGCTTACTGGCTGTGTATCCTGGAAATTAAATAAACCGAGCCTCTACTTTCTCTTCTGTGAAATGGGATATACTGCTTATTCCTCCCTGTCTCTGGAGAGCTGGTGTGACTTTGCTTACAGAGGAAACTCAGGGTCAGCCACACACAGGGAGTATGGTACACAGAAAATGTACAGTGTCTGGGCTATGGAGTTGGTTTGGGGGCAGAGGAGGGACTCATGCCAAGGTCTGTCCAACCCCAAAGCCCTGTTCTTTCCTCCTTGGCATTCCATGTGAGAGCAGAAAGCCCAAGAAGATTGACTTTCCAGATTAATCTTCTCATCTGTAGTTGAGAAAACAGGCCCAGAGAGGGGAACTAGCTTTAACAACTATTCGTCTTATACTTTATATGGTTTTTCAAGGGCTTTCACATCAACTGCCTCGATTAACCTTCCCTGGGCAGGACAGAGAATAGACAGGCTTTTAGAGAACCATGGAGAGGGTACAGAGGTGTAACTAGCAGGACCATTTTAGTGGCGCAGTGCACCTTGGAAATCCACATTGGTTGAATGTCAGTACTTACAGTAGCAGATGTAGTTTAGGGAGCCCTGAGCCCTTGGCATTCATCTGGCAGCACCATCACTTCAGCTTGCTGGACAGGAGCTCTGCACCCCACACCTCAGCACTTACTCTTGCACCTTGTCTGAAAAGCACAACCTTAGGGTAATAAACTGTACATCCCAAGCGGCCAAGAATTAGTCTTGCTTGCTGGTCTTTCCCACACCTAGAATAGCGTCTGGTACATAGGAAGTATACATGTTTGTGAACGGTCATGTGACCACTGGAGCCGTAGTGTTCACATCTGCGAATTGGGGATTTCATTTCTTTCTTTTCTTTTCTTTTTTTTGGAGAAGTTTTTTGCTACAGGGCATGTGCACTCACCGGAAAGAGAGAGACAAAGAGACAGAAAGCGAGAAATCACCCCCCAGGGGGGATGGCCATGCCACAGTCCCTTCTCCTCCTTTCTCTTCTTGGGATCTTGGGCACTCACACACATGCACCCGGCATGAGTTTAAGCCACCAGGTCCGGGACTTGAACCGCGGTCGACTACATGGGAGTCCAGCGACATAGCCATTATGCTAACTGCTGGTCCCATGGGGATTTCATTTCTGATCTTGCTGGGAGATTATAAGAATTAGAGGTATCCCAGTACCTTGGAGGGAGCAGTGGTATTGTTAGTGTTGGCTTGGGCTGCTGTGTCCCACACTATACCCCAATGGCCGTGCTCTCCCTGCACTCCTCTGTAGGCTGCCCCCACTCACTGTCTCCTTCCTCCCTGTCTTTTTCTGCCTAGTGAACGGGAGCTACAGCCACTGCACTCCGGGTTCGGAGAAGAGCCTGTTGGACTTGGACCTTGCTGAGGGCCCTGGCCCTACCTGCCACCAAGGCCTGTTTCTCCCTGCAGGAACTCCCCCTCCCCGGGGTCACCCCCCAGCCTGCGAGAGGTTGCTGCATTTTCCCCACCCTCACAGGTATGTGCCTATCCCCACCCACCAGCTGCTTCCTGTGGACCCTCCTCGGGGCCAAGGACCAAGGGCTGCAAGATCCCACTTTGCCTGGCTGGTGGGACACATGGGGAAGCTGCGGCACCAGAGGCCTAGTAGCCTAGTAGCAAAGATGGCTACACACCTCCTGCTTTGCCTGGGCCTTATGAGAGAGACAGAGATGGTTTTATTGAGGTACGGTTCCCCGCTGCATAAGCTTAAGTGACTTTTCATAGAGTCAGTAATTTCAGAAGAGGAAGATCCAGGCACGGATTGGGAAAGAGGCCACATAGTGTCGAACCCTGAGCTGGCCCTTGGACGGAGATGGCTTCCTCTCCTCTTGTCATTGTGTGCCCCAGGACACTGTCGCCCCGCAGAAGCCTGCCTGTAGCCATCTACTCAATGCTTACACATTCCCACTGGCGCCCACCTCGTATGGATGTCCCATCAGATTGCACGTTGGATTGAAATGTGGCTTCTCCCGGGGTCCCAGCTGTGCCTTGGTGCTTCTTGGTTTACCGACAGTGAGGTCAGTCAACGGACAGATCTGTGTGCACATCTGCTTGGACTCAGGGCCCTCATCCACAGCCATGGGCTACTAGTTTGAGGTCTGTGTCACAGACCAGAGTCTAAAAATGGCCCGGTTGCTGGTCTGTAGTTCATCAGCCATTTATCAAGTGTTCAGCATGTGCCTAGTATGTGCCAGGCACTGTGGTCAGGGCGGGGGTGCTTTGGTGAAGGAAGCCAAGATCTCCCCACCTAGAGCTTACATTCTAGTGAGATCCACAGTGGGAGATAGAGGCTTTGGAGGCCAGAAATACTTTGGATTTTTTATTTTTTCAGGTTTTAGAATATTTGCATATACATAATGAGTGATCGTGAGAAAGTCTAAATACAAGATTCACATATATTTGTGTGTGTGTGTGTGTCATATACACCTTATACAAATATTCTGAAGGTAATTCTATGCAGTATTTTTATGGTGCAGCATTTTGGCTGTGACCTGCCACATGAGATCAGGTGTGGAATTTTCCACTGGCAGTGTCATGTCCGCACTCAAAAAGTTTCAAATTTTGGAACTTTTCGGATTTCAGATTTTCAGATCAGGAATGTCCAACCTACATTGCCACATAGAAGGCTGTTTTTCCCATGTGGAATCATTTGCCTTTGAGAATTTAGATTCCCTGTTGCCTTTTTGAGTTTCGTGAGACACCTGATTTATAGGAGGACATTCATTTGCTCAGGCTGCCATAAAAATAACATAAACTGCATGGTTTAAACACAGAAATTGATTTTCTTAGAATTCAGGAGGGCAGAAGTGCAAGATTAAGGCGCTGGCAGGTTTCGTTTCTCCTGAAGCCTGTCTTCTTGGCTTGCCAGTGGTCACCGTTTCTCCACGTCCTCACAGGGTCATCCCTGCTCTGTGTTGTCCATGTATTCCACCTCTTGTATGGAATCAGACACATTGCCTTAGGGTCTGCCCTTATGACCTCACTTAGCCTCAATTATTTCTTTAAATCCTCAGTGTAACTGGGGGGCAGGGCTGCAACATACGAATCTGGGGGTGCACGACCCAATCTGTAACTAGAAGTCAGCTTTTTTTTAGGATTCAAGCCATGCTCTGTTGAGCAATGGTCAGATGCAGTTACCTGCTTGATGACTCACAGAGAATCCCATAAGTATCGAGTTTCTTGAGTGATGTACCTCCTGTCTCGGGGTAGGAACTATGTGAACCCAGGAAAGGCTAGGGAACCTGGATATTTTTCTTTGCTAGACACATTCAGAAATATTGCCTATCATCCTGAATGTCTTTTTGACAATTTGGGGCACAGGAGAGTGTATAAAGAATGCTCCATTGGTTTCTACATAAGTTGTTGCCAGCCCTGCTACCAAAGTGGCTGAGTTTGAGCTGACCCTTTTGAGCATCCTTGCTTTCTTAAAGAAAAGGAAAGTCCCAGCCTCTATCCTACTCCCATTCTGAATCCTGTCCCTTCCCCAGCCCTGCTGGGTTACCTGGTGTTTGGGACCCCTCCTCTTCATCCTCACTGCCCCTCCTGATCTCAGGCCCTTTGAGCTACCTCCTTGGTTCCTTCCTCGGCTGCCTTCCGAGCCTCCTTGCCTCCAGCCTAACTTCCTAGTACTAATAAAAAGAGCTCCTGCTTACTGAGTGGTTACTGCACGTGCACATCCTAATCCCTACAGTCCCAGGAGGCCCTGGTCCCACACTGATGAGCAACAGCCAGAGAGTGTTTGCTGGGGGCCACACACTGGGCCAGGCACTTTCCTTGTGTTAAGTCGCTCAACTCACAACTGCCATAGGACGGGTAAACTGAGGCCAGGAAGGCTCTGTAAATGGCCTGAGGTCATCTAACAAGTGGAAATAAATAATTTAGCAATGTCCAGCTTTTGTCATTTCTGTGCCTAAAATGGCTGCCCACCACCAATGCAGATGGGAGAATATATTGCATTTGAGGTTCAGTCGAGTCCTGGCTCCATCACTAGCTTTCTAGTTAACCTGAGCAAGATGCTGAGCTTCTCAGAGCCTCATTTCCTCGCTGTGACATGAGGATAGAAGCACAGAGAGAAGGCCTCACGGTGTCACAAGGCCCCTGGCAGCCACCACTCAGCTCCTCCTGCAGCCAAACCAGCCTCCTGACTGGTTCTGAATGGGCCCTCCCACATTCACATCTTCATGTCTCAGCCTTTGGAGCCTCCCCACACTCTCTTCTGTGTGCCAGAACTCTCCCCACCCTCAGCAGAGTTTGAGGTACCCTCAGTGGACTGGGCCATGGTCTCCCTATTTATTGGCAGGGGAGCTTCTCAAGCTCAGGGACCATGTCACATCATGTCCTCAGCCCCACTCAGCACCGAGGGACAGGCCTGGTGAGTGAACTCACTGACCTTCCACCTGGGCTGCAGCCTGCGCCCCGGGGGCCGTGAGGTCTGAGGTTGCCTCCTCTCTCCTCGATTCTCTGCTGGAGAAACTGATAATCCCAATCTCAGCAGCTCCTTTCCAGGATGTTAAGCAAAAGAAATGTGAGTCCTTGATACTTAGAATGTCAAAGCCATAGGAAACATCCTGGTCATCTGCTTCAGTCATTTTCAGACAAGCAGTTGAGACCCTGGCAGGAGTGTTGTGAGAAAACCCCAGTGTCTTGTTCAGGCAGAGCCAGGTTCCATTTCTGCTCTGTCACTCGTCTGGGGCTTGGACAAGCTGCTCCATTTTCCTAGGTGTCAAATAGGTGATGGCCTCTTCCCTGAACTCAGCCACATGGCCAAGAGACAGTGCTGCTCACTTCGTTCTACCTGTTACGCTGCATGTGGCGGACCTCAGGGCAGTGCCAACACCCTGGGAGGCTCTGCCTGGGACTGGGCCCAGTTTCTAGAGATTTGATGGGGTTGTCCTGAGGTGCATAGGGCTCTGCAGCAGAGCAGAACTGGAACCACTGTCCCAAGCCTCCCAGGGACAGCAAGGAAGTGAGGGGGCATTGAGGCCTGGGCCACCACCTCTCCCTTTAACACCATGCGCAGTTTTGCCATCAGGACTGCAGTAACTCAGAACGCTGTGGTGCTCTCCTCTCTTGGCATTGGTCACTCTAACCTGATGCTATTTCAGAGATGGCTCCAGAGGCTTACCTGGCTGTCCTTTCCTGCCCACCCCACCTGTGCCAGGTACATGATAGTGACCCCCTAAGGAGCAGCTATACTTCTATTCTTATTTAAGCTCCACAGAGCCCCAGGCTTAAATGGGCCCAGGGTCCCCAGCCTGGGGAGGGGACATGTGCGCTTGCGGTCTGATGCAGAATTGAAACTCCTGTTTCCACCCAGTGGCCACACTCTGGCTGCAGAGTTCTTGGGAGGGAAGAGAGCTCACTGGTGAGTGAGGCTGAGGGTTGCTGGTATATTTGAGGAAACAACAGAAAGGCTCAAGTCCCGCCCCGGCACCTTTATTGAGGGAGAGCTTCCAGTTGGTTCTATCCAGAAGAGAACACACGCACCCAGAAGGGGATCTGGGTCTAGTCTGCTGCATGTGTGGTGACGAGCAAGTCCTGAGCCCTCTCAGCTCTTCCCTCTCCATGTCTTGACGGGGTCAGAGGCCAAGCTCTGAGGTCGTCTGACTCGGCTTCCCTTTCTCTCCTGCCCTTTTCCCTCCCTCCATCTCTGCTGAAGCTGGGGATGGTATAGCCACAGGGAGCTGGAAAAGGAGGGACCTGGGCCTCAAGGCTGTCCTGAGACAGGCTGGGACTCAGCAGCTCTGCTGCCATAGCATGGGGACAGCAGTGATAACAGCACCACGCATCCTGCCGTCCCCTCCCAGAGCGCTGTCCCAGGATCATTGCACTTGGTTTGGGCAGCCACTGCTGAGGCAGAGCAGCTTAGTCCTCATTTCACAGGTGAGGAAACTGAGGCCCAGCTGAGGTGGACTTCATGGGACATCTCAGTCAGATTGGGCACGTAGCCAGGTCATCTCTCATTCGACCAGCTAGCTGGTGGTGGCTTCTCATGACTCTCACGCCAGCATCACCCACTGGCGTCTTTCCTTTTCAGAGCCCTCTGGGGACAGGCAGACCTTGGTATTTCTACCTGTACCTAGCCTGGTCCCCACCCAGGATGGTGGGCATGTCCATGTCGGAATCCCCTTGCCTCTCCTAAACCTGGCGCTTGCTGAGTGGTGGGGGGGAATCCTGCATTTGGGAGAGGTCCTTTCTAGGCACCTAGGTACCATGCATGTGGTGACAACAGCCACCGAGGCGAGCTGCACCTCAGCTGGTCCACACCATGCATGCTGCCATGAGGAAGATCCTTCTGATGTCACAAGTGAGGAGAGAGGCCCAGAATGGCTAAGAAATTTGTCCGTGTTTACCCAGCTTAGCCGTGAATGAGCCTGGCCTCGAACCCAGATCTCCTACCCCCACACACTGCCTGGCCCAGCCTGCCTCACTCATTTGCCCAAAGTGCAGTTTCATGCACTCATGGTGTCTAGGCCTGAAGCTCTGGACATCCCTTCAGCTATTCCCAAAAGGTCATAGCTGTGCTTCAGACTTGCCATCCACGGATGTTAATAGAGAAAAGATGGACTGCTCAAGGCAGGAGGATCGTGACGATAAGACCCTGTTATAAATAAATAAATAAATAAATAAATAAATAAATAAATAAATAAATAAATAAATAAAGCAAAGATAGGCTGGGGCAAGATTTCATACAAATAACATTTTCAGAAGTTAAGAAAGATGATAAAAGTTAAAGATTTAAGAGACACGTAGAATTTACAACACACTGGGTGTTCCCCAACATGCCAGCCTCAGCCTTCTTCCTGTGAAATTCACTAGAAGGTTGTGGGGAAGGATCAGGACAGACCCAAGAAGGACTGGCACCCAGGCTGGAGGGGAGGGCTGAGCCTGGGTGAGCTCCTTCCTGGCAGTCCCATCACGGTCACCTGTGCAGACCTACCTCCCTGGACCCTGTTCCCTTCTCCATACTTGTCCCTACTCTCCAACCAGCCAGACGTGGCTGCCTCTAGCCCTCAGCCTCCCTCTCCTGCCTGGGGCTGCCCATCCCTGGGTCCTCAACTCTCCTGCCAGCTCCCCTGCCCCTCCAGGGCCTCTCCACTGCAGAGCACCTGCCTTCTCATGACTTCTCTGGCCACTGTCTTCCAGGTCACCCAGATCCCAGCCCACGTATATGAACGGTGGCCTCCCAGCCACACAGCACATCAAGCAGGAGTCTCTGCCCGCTTACCAGGCCATGGCAGAAGCACGTGCACCCCTGTCTGCCCACTGCCGGGCCCCGCCAGCTGCCGGCCTACACGCAGACCTAGACCTCCCGGGCCGAGGCCTCGCCAACCCTGCGTCTTCCTGCTACCTTCTGGGCAGCGAACCCAGCTCTGGCCTGGGTCCTCCGCCTGAAGCCCACCTCCCTGAGGGCAGCCTGAAGCACTGCTGTCTCTTGGGCCTGCCTCCCACCTCTTCGGCCTCCTCCTCCTCACCCTGTGTCTCCTCTTCTGACGTTGCCCCCATCAGCCGCTCCTCCCAGACAGCTCTGGTCACCTGTGTAAATGGACTCCGGAGCCCCCCTCTGCCGGGAAACCCTGGGGGCCCTCCCAAGCGGGCCCTGCCCAGCCCCCCATGCACTGAGAGCCACGAGGGGAGTTTGCAGTTCGAAGCCTGCCGGAAGATGGGTTTCTTGAAACAGGAGCCAGTGGACGAGTTCTCAGAGCTCTTCGGACCTCCCCAGCATAGCCTGCCACCCCCCTACCCCCTGCCTCAGTTACCAACTGGCCCAGGCCTTGGAGGCTTGGGACTGGGCCTGGTGGGCAGGGCAGTGGCCGGGCGGCAGACGTGCCGCTGGGTGGACTGCTGTGCAGCCTACGAGCAGCAGGAGGAGCTGGTGCGGCACATCGAGAAGAGCCACATAGACCAGCGCAAGGGCGAGGACTTCACGTGCTTCTGGGCCGGCTGTGTGCGCCGCTACAAGCCCTTCAACGCCCGCTACAAGCTGCTCATCCACATGCGGGTGCACTCGGGTGAGAAGCCCAACAAGTGCATGGTAAGTTCCTCTGCTGCCAGGCCTCCGCCACCCAGCCAGCCGGGCAGCACCCACCTCACTGCCCATGAGAGGCTACCTGGGAGCCCTGAGCTCCTCGTGGTTGACGTGACCCTGGGAACCTTGGCAGAGAGGTGCCAGGTGCCTGTCCCCACTCTGAGGTGTTGGAGGTGCCTTAGTGTGCCCCACAGCTGGTGCTGCCACACATGCCCTGAGGTGGAGGCAGGCTTGGCCAACCTTCTCTTTCCCATGTGGAGGCTGCATGTCCCACCTTCCGTGGCCTGACGAGACGTGGGGAACTTGCTTTCCTCCAGCTCCGGGCCTTCACTCAGTGCCCTTCGCAGGAAGGCTCCCTGGGCCTTCTCCTGGAGCTGTCTTTAGCCTTGGCTTCCTCCTCCGAGGAAGGCAGTGGGATCAGGTCAGGGGCTAGTAGTAAGACCCAGGACAGCAGCACCAGCAGTGTGCTGACTGGGGTTGAGACCGAGGATTTTGCCAGAGAAGGGCACCTGTGTGTGTGTGTGTGTGTGTGTGTGTGTGTGTGTGCAAACACATGTCAACTGTGGTCCCTGGGTCTCCAGGCCCCCAGGATGGTCATGTCTTTGTTCTGTCCTTGCTGAGGTGGAGATCTGTATCAGACCTGGGAGCACAGTTTCGGTCCCTGATGGTCTCAGCCTAACCACTGGCTTAGGAGAGAGGTGCCTGCCTGGTGTGGCAGGGCCTCAGGTAGGCCCTGCACGATGAGAACTGGGGCCAAAGGGGCCACGGCTCAGTCCCCCCAGCCTGGGCAGCAGTGTGTCTGGCCTGCAGGGCCTGCGTAGCACCCAGGTTTGTCGAGTTCTTCCACACTCCCATGCTGTCAGTGACACAGGGCCCCACTTCATGGGGCATTCAGTCTGGGAAGGGTGCCGTGTCCCTGCATGGAGCCCAGAGTGACATTTCCAGGGCCAGGGTGGAGGCAGGAAGCCCTGGCAACTGGCAGTGTGAACGCCACCCTCCGGGGCCAGGAGTCCACTTTTGGTGCCCGACTGCCTGTGGAGCCGTGAACTGGATGAGCTTCTGCAGCCTCCAGGAGTCTGGCCTTGGTGATGAGAAGGAACTTGCTGTGTGGACGGTCGGGAGCAGTGAGCACCTGGAGATTGGCCTCGGTGATGAGAAGGAGCTCGCTGTGTGGACAGTCAGCAGCAGTGAGCACCTGGAGGCTGACCTTGGATGATAAGAGGGAGCTTGCTGTGTGGACGGTCGGCAGCAGCGAGATCTGCACCACAGGCAGGGAGGAGGCAGGGATGTGGCTGGCATCCCATGTGCTGAGGGGCTGTGGGGAGAAGCTGCACATCTGACTTTATCACATGCCTTGGGGCTGAGCGTCTCCTGAAGGAGGGCTGCCGGGTGGGCCATCCCTGGGGACGCACAGTTCATTTGGGATCTTGGGACACAAGACTTGCTGAAAGGTGTGCCCCTGCCTGGGAGGAGATGACCAACAGACAGAGCCCGCAGGCCAGGCTACCGGAAGACAGACGGCCCCATCCCTCCCTGAGACATGGGGCCGACTGCTGTCAAGTCACAGTTCTTGTATCCCCGTCCTGTGGGAATCCAGGAAGGGGCTGCTGGGGATTGTGGTGGCCTAGGTGAAGGCCATGTGGCCCAAAGGTATGTCATCATGGTGTGGGCAGTGGCTTTCTGACAGTGGGCCTGTGTGTGGAGTCACAACATCCAGGAATGTCCGTGTCAGATATTAGGGACCTCGAGGTGGTCTCAGCCTTGCCTGCCGTGCTTTAGCTTGGGCAGTGGAGGCTGAGGTTGCTCCGTTTAGTCTCATGGTCTTTCTGCTGGGCCAGCCTACTAGGATCTCATCTGACGCTGTGGACTCCACAGGGCACTGGCTTTACATCTAGCTCATGCCTGGCACTGGGACCCAGGCCTGGGCCTGCCATGGGCCTTCCTCTGGGGTCACCCACAATCGGTGATGGGTCCCTGGGCTAGTAGGGGTCAGAATCAGTGACAGATCCTGGAATGGGATTTGCCCAAGAAGGGAGGTCCAGAAGGACTTTGTGGAGGAAGTGAGCTGTATCTACTCAAGCATGGCTGTATTTAAGCGTCACAAGAATCCTCTAAAACTGAAGGTTTTCACAGGTGAGGAAAGATCCAGCAGGGTGAGGCTAGCCTTCTACTTGTTTCTGTGAGAACACCTGGTCTCGCTGGTCAGGAGTTAGGGTTCTGGTGGTGATGATACGGGCTAGTGACTTCTGAGTTCTGACCGTGTGCGAGTGCTGTTCTAAGTGCTAACTCCACAGGCCCTTACCACACCCCTATTGGAGGGGACACTGTTAGCCTCCATTTTACAGAAGAGGAAATTGAGGCTCAGAGAGCTTGTTAACTTGCCCCCGGTCACATAGCAAGTTAGAGACAAACAATAACAACAGCAACAATAGTAATAGCGGCTAAGAATCATCATATTAATAGTAGCAACAGTAGTAGAAATGCTGCTTGATGTTACACAACTGTACCATTGGGATAGAATCTGAACCTACTTTTTTTATTTTTGAAGATTTTTGCCATAGGGCATGTGTGCTTGTGGGAGAGAGAGGGAGAGAGTCAGAGAGAGGGAAGGTAAGGAATCACACCTTCTGGGGGCATGACATGCCTCAATCCCTTCTCCATGCACCTCTTGGGATCTGGAGCATGTGTGCACATGTGCCCAGCATGATTTTCAAGCCACTGAGTTTGGGACTTGAACCACTGTTGGCCATGTGGGAATCCAGCCCCTTAACCACCATGTCACTTACTGGCCCCAAACCTACTCTTTCTTTTCTTCTTTTCCAGTTTTTTTTTTTGTTGTTGTTGTTTTTTTTTTTTGTTTTGTTTTGGTTTTTTTTGAGAGGTTTTTGCTATAGGGCGCATGCACTTGCCAGACAGACAGAGAGAGACAGAGAGCTAGAAAGCGAGAAATCACCCCCCAGGGGGAATGCCACGCCACAATCCCTTCTCCTCCATTCTCCTCTCGGGATCTTGGGCACGCATGCACACATGCCCGACGTGAGTTTAAGCCACCGGGTCTGGGTCGACTACGTGGGAGTCCAGCGACATAGCCATTATGCTAACTGCTGGTCCCTCTATTCCAGTTTTTTAATTGCCAGAGGATGCATGTATTCATCAGAGAGAGACAGAGAGGGAGAGCGAGAAAGTATCTCCTTGGGATGTGGTCATACTGCAATCCCTTCTCCTCCTTTTCTCTCTCCTGTCAGGGCTTTGGGCACTCATACATGCCAGTATGTTTTTCAAACTGCTGGGGCTGGGATTTGAACCATGGTTGGCCATGTGGGATCTGGCTCACTTTAACCACTAGATCATGGAGCCTGATCTGAACCCACTCTTCCTGAACTGTGATACTCCTGGTCGTGTAAATCTTCCATGAACCTAACGAATCTCTGGGGTCTTAGGCCCAACCTCCCCAGGTGCCACCATCTGGAGAGAGTGGCAGCACTCCCCTCGGTTTGGGGGGCCTTCTCTGAGCTGCCTCTGAGTCCCTCCTGCCTGCCCTGCTCCTTTCCCTGCAATGCTGGTGCAGTAGGTAACCCAGGGGAAGGGGCGGGCCCCAGCCTGCACCCAGATAAATAAAATCTCTCTTCCCTGTAAAATTATTAATTTCTCATGACAGGCCTCTGCTACCATGCACTGTAATAGACAAAGGAATTTTGGACCCGGAGCCTCTGGAGAACAGGAAATAGATGAGACATTTTGATTGAAGAGTAAATGGCCCACTAAAATAGCAGTTAATCCTTTTATTATCTTTCCAGCAGCCGTTTGCACAGTTCTTTCATGAGGTAAGCTCCCCCCACCCCATCCAACTGTAACACTCCCGGCCTTGCAGCTGGTTTAAATTTAGCCTGCGGAGTCTCCGCTCCAGCACCAGGCAGGCCTCAGTGTGCCGAGAGGAGAGCCTGGCTGCCCTCTGCCCAGGCAGTTTAGTCCTTAGGCCAGGCCTGGGCACTTGTTGGCCCCCCTCCCGGGAAACTGCGCCATCCACCCCTAACTTGGCCTCCACCCAGCCTGTCCCCACTGTCCAGAGGAAGCTCCCTAATCTCTTTGCAATATCCTGTTATGTTTCTTACGTTGCTCGAGTTGTCTTAGCCTTATTAAATCTGGGGCTTCGTCTGCGTTACGATAACAAGGTTACGTCCAACCCAAATACTGACGCGACGCCTCGAAGACGTTAACTTTGCAAAGATTAATTTCATGCCTTCTTAGGTTGGTGCTCCCAGACAGTCGGAATTCTGATTGTCTGAGACTGCAGAAATGAGTAGACTGTGTGTAGCTTGCTTTTCTCTACATCAAGAAGAGGAGGCAGAGTGAAAAAGGAAGACTTCTCATAACCATGCCCCTTTCTACCTGAGGTTTGATAAAATAACAGTAATAACGAAAAGCCCTCACTTTTGTGAAGAGTTTTACCAACACTGTAAATGCTGGGTGCCAAGTGTGTGCAGAGAGGAAAAGCCCGGGTCTGGTGTCCCACATGTCAGCCTGTCTCTGCCACTTACCAGCTGTGTGACTTACCTTTTCTGAACTGTAGCATGCTTGATTGTAAAGTAGGGCAATAACAGGGCAAGCAGATGGCATGGTAGTTAAGGAACTGGATTCCCACATGGCTGATCATGGTTCAAGCCCTGGACCCAGCAGTTTGAAAATTACACTGGGCGTGTGTGCATGCATGCTCAGAAACCCAAGAGGAGAATGGAATAGAAGGGATTAAGGTGTAGCCATGTCCCCCTGGGGGATGCTTTCTCACTTTCCTTCTCTCTGTCTCAGTCTCTCCCTGGTGAGAACATCTGCCCCATGGCACAAACCTAAAATAAAACAGGGAGTAACAGAGTACATACCTTTTAACCTTTTTCTCTCCGTGAGTGTGAGAGAAGACAGAAAATGGAGAGATAGCACCTCTATTAGGGATTTTTTCTTTTTAGGTTTTTCATAGGGCATGTGTGCTTGCTGGAGAGAGACAGTGAGAG